TTAGCTTCGTCTTGGGCCTAGCACGGGAGGAAGAGGGGAGAAGAGAAAGGGAGGAAGGACTCTTCTCGCGTGCATCTCGCTCTCCTCGTTTTCCCTCGGCACGATCCCCAAGGGGCCCGTATGAAAGAGGAAGTATCCTCGAGTCGCGCAGATTATCTTGCGAAGGACGAATCGCGTGCGAGTCTTCGAAACAAACTACATCGATAATGCTGTAATATCTCGTACAGCTGTGAGTTGTAGCATTTGTCGTTAATATTTGGCATATTTAACTCTTTCGCCATTAAAATAATTCTTTACGCGCGAGGACAAATGAAAAATAAATTATTTATGAAGATTTTACGACTCGCATTTCTGTCGGAATGTATCAAAGTAATTTGAATAATGTGTATTTGTAAAATAAATAAAATTTAGACTAGAAAAAACATTTTGGATATAAACGTTGATTCGTTGATATAACGTTAATTACTGAGAATGTTTATTTTTGCGCTGTGGATTGCATAAGAAATTAAATTATCTCGTATTTTGATTATGACAAGGGAAAACAATACATGCTTAATATGAAAATTAAAAAAGTATATACGAGCAAGAATATTCATAAATAAATTCCCCTGAAATAATTGATTGCCACAATTATATGTGTTTTATAGTCATAAAATATGCTATAGTTTATCAATTGCGAGAGGAAGAAATCATTCCATTTCTTTTCTTACAGAGATGTTTTTATCCTTTTCTTGCGCAAAAATACGATAAGAGGGCATCCCAGAAGCTAGAAGCGCAAAAATATTTTTCCTTTTATTTACGAATTCTTTCATCAATTTAAAACCAATCTTACTAAAGCAGAAATTTGATTGAACGGTATTTCTGATGGATTTTTCTAACATATTCTCCTTTAAAAATCAAATTAAAATTACATTAAAGTCTAAAATTAAATGGAATGTGTATAAAAATTTTTATTACATATTTATTTGTGATTCTAAAAATAATTTTGCAAAATCACTAAAGTAATATCCAATTAATTATAAAACAGTAAGTGTTGCATTATCGCCTTTTCAATATTTTTGTTAGAATAAAAATTTATTGCTCTCTTTCATCGAAATGTCAATCTCGTTGATCCAAGAATTCATATTGTATAAAAGAAAATTGGAATATTTTAAGAACATTAAATATATATTCTCGTTTTTACATTCGCTGCTTACTTTGACCTTTCCGTTTTTCCGCTCCAAGACACATAAATTTATTTTGGATCTTACAAAGAACCGTTTCCATCCGCAGACCGCGTTGACGCTAATTAAATGAGCACTCAAAAGTTGACCAACCGTCAATTGCAGCTCGGCATATTGAGAGCGATTTCCCTTTGCAATATCCGGTTAAATGAGAATTAACGCCATTTGAACTTATAACTAATGTCTGATGTGAAAAAAGTGTTAATTTATATATATATATATATATATATATATATATATATATATATATATATATATATATATATATATATATATATATATATATATATATATATATATATATATATATATATATATATATATATATATATATATATATATATATATATATATATATATATATATATATATATATATATATATATATATATATATATATATATATATATATATATATATATATATATATATATATATATATATATATATATATATATATATATATATATATATATATATATATATATATATATATATATATATATATATATATATATATATATATATATATATATAAGGACACATAAAAGATTTAAATTTTTATAATTCCGCAATAAATATAGCGGAAAACTTTCGAGATAAACTAAAACTAAAGTTTAACTTTACATCTACAAAAAAAAAATATAATTAAATAAAATATAGTTAAAAATAATTTAGAATAAATTTAAAGTAGACGTAAGAAGAAAATTAAAATGTTTATTTTAGTCTTTCGAAATCCAAATCCTAAAACACATATTGTTGTTGCAGTGCCGAAAGGGTTAAGGAGCCGTAATTTATGCGGCAAACGACATATGCGTTCGAAGAAATCCGCGCGAATCAGAGAGTACGACGTCGCGGCGCGTTGCTAAATTTACTTAACGCCTCTGCGAAAATATAGAGTAGGGGAAAGAGAATTAGAATAGAAGTGCTTTGGGTAGAAGATGGTTTATGACAATCCCATTTCGCGGTCGTATACCTAATCCGTTTTTTGGGTTCGCAAATAACGCGAAAAACATCGATAGCACAAATGTTCCTTTTAGAAAAATGATTTAATAATATTCCTAATTTGACTATATCTAAAATGACTGTAAGATTTTCAAGAATATCCTGCGTAACGCTCGACATATGATCTTTTCAAAATTATATTCTTAGCTTGAAATTATTTTTAAAAACAGGGTACATTCACGCGCAAGAAAAAATTTTTAAAAGTCGAGAGGTTCAAAGATAGCGAGTGAAACACTCTTAAGCATTAGCGGATATTATTTAGATTCGCGTATGTGTATAATATCAGCTCTAATGTCTACTACATAATATCTTTATATCAAAATCTCCAGCGGTTCATCTTTCGGAACAGAATATATGTATTTGTATATTAGAATACACAAGCAAGAAAGAAAAAAGCCGTGGAAGGAGACTTTCGGCAATTTTGCAAGGTTGATAGCCATTATCATATTCTGCACATATCATATCAAATTTATGGGTAATAAAGGCCGATCGTGGGTAACAGGCCCTTGGGCCAGCAGGTAGATCCGGCACCCCCTCCCTCTCGACCGTTCGATTTCACGGCGTTCGCCACCATCGACGTAGTTGGTTTGGCTTTATAGTCATGGCAGTTGGCAGTAGTGGCAATTGATATGCGTGCCATTGATATATGAGAGCATATTTCACGAGTTTGGCGGACCTGCCCGACCTCTCCGGGTTTGTTATCTTGCACTGCTCTTTCTCTCTCTCTCTCTCTTCCTTTCTCACTTTTCTCTTCTGATTCTTTTTTCACCCCCTCTCGCTTTTTCTTTTTCTCTCGTTTCTTCTCTCGAGCTCAAAGATCGGGCTACCAATATGCGCGGTGAATTATGCTTACCCTTTGTTAAGATTCTTGACGTGTCTTTGATTGGAACGAGCGGGGGCAGCCTGGGCTTACCAGGTGAGGGGAAAAAATCGACGGGCGTACACGAAAATACGGGGTACCTTTGACCACGGACCACGGCGTTCAACCTCTCGGGCATAATGACTACGGCCGGACAAAATTTACTTTCTAAACGGTCGTAAGCGGTGGATACCTACATTGAGTCTTTATCGGTTTGTTGGTTCAACGTCGACGTGCCTCGACCGCCGCGTCATCATATAACCGAAAGAAATATAATACAAGGTTTGCATTGTTTTTCGCGATGCGACAGTTATAGTTTGGAACGCGAGAGAGAAAGAAAGGGAGATACGTTGCATCCTTGACCTCCGACCTGTGTAAATGGATCTCAACTTTCTCGCGCGTTCAACAATGTGCGAGAGAAAGAGAGAGAGTTTAAAACGTCCGACGTTTGTGCAAGATTCTTCTTATGTAATCGGTGTAACCATAGCGCAAAAGCGATGCGATCCGCGATACCGTCCAGCATCAGCTCTCTCTCCTGGACCGCTCCGTTATTTCTTTCGTTTCTGAACACCTTTATCCGCCACGAAAGCTGATATTCTATTGCACAATAATTTATTTTACGAACTCGATATAGGATGTTTCAGGAAATTTATCGAAAAATATTTTAGGAATGATCTTTTTGATTTTAATAACTTCAAAATCAATTTCTTCTCGCAAGCACCGAGCGTGTATTTTAAAGTAAAATATATCGACTGACAAATAATCGCGTTATTCATGTATACTTCTGAAAAACTAGCAAGAGAGATAGCAAAAAATAGCTTTATCCTTAATAAAAAATATTTCTACGATCAGTCAACAAGTAGTCTGGAAATTGCCACGAAATTTGTCGAAAAACTTATACTCGAATTATCTTTCGACAAATTCAAAATATATTACGAATTATGCTAATTGATATTAATCGTGCGTAGCATTTTTCGTTCAAGGCGCGTAAGATTCTGACTCGTTCGTATGATCGGAGAGATTCCTGCACGAGAGTGAGACCGTTTTAAATTGGAAACAGCACACGGCCTTCGTTCGCGGCGCGTCGCCGAATGGATCCGCGCGCTTGATGTATCACTGCGTTTCAATGCGGAGAAGATAATTCGATCAAAATGAGATACAGGGGAGGGGGGAGGGGTATACGTTTTATCGGAATTGCTAACCTACCGAAACGTCGCGCGACACCGCGTTGAATAAATTCATGAGTTATACACAATCGCCGATAAATTATGTTTTCACTTCGTTGAAGCTCGTGACGTATGTTTGAGCCGGGCTCGCCCGAGAGGTGTCCATTGTTTGATGAAAAATTATCGAGCGGCCGATTTTATCAACGGCCGCCGATAGAGCGGCGCGATTTAAAATTTAACGTACAATAGGGATGCTCGGCTAAAACGTCTGTTATATAACGGTTGACATTTATTTCCCTTTTTGGATGTGTAATTTTTGCAGACGCGCGAGCGAAGCTAGACCTTCAATCGTACGATATATCAAGCAACGATATTAATGACTCACTTTGCTAATTAGATGCCGAGATTATCCGGGCTTATTTCATTCGTCGCAAAAAAACGATGCCCCCCCTTTGCACGAACTTATGGAAAGCATATCCGAGAGCCTCTTACGACCCGTGTGTTCTCGTATCTCATCCGCTCGCGTCGCTCATGTCCGTGTGCACGGAAAAATGTCAACAGCTATATCGAGCGCGTCACGCATTCACGGAAGGCTTATCAGACGGTCCCGGCTTAATTGTAATTGCCGTTCTATGTTCATAGAGGCCACGATAACGCGTTTCCACATCATCGCTGAATGCAAGCCGCGCTTAGATAGAAGTTAAAAAAGAGCGTTAAAAAAAGAGAAAATATTTCAAATGAGCGTACCTTATTGTAAATGTAACTTGTTGTTTCGCAAACGTAGCGTATGTCTCTCGCACACAGGTGTATCTCGTTAATCGATAATTGCGCACCTCCAAGCGGCGTCATATGAAATAATGAGGAACATACAGCTTCTGAAACACGAAAATTAATGAAAGGGTCAGAATGTAGTGAAATATAAATTCGCTAAAAATCCGGTAAATTCACAATTTCATTGTCATAAACAATTTTGGTTGCTTTTATCCAAATTGTTTTTTACATAAAAATACTGTTGCCACTGTGTTTTTGTATTTGTGCGATAAACAAATATATATGCAAAGGAAGTTATTAAATGGATAAAACTGTGTTATTTAATTTTTTTCTACTTGCGCCAGTTTTATACAATATCTTTTGAGCTCCCATGTTTCGCATTCATTCGTTCGCATTCATTAGTTCTAAACATGTGGTCTTTTCAACGAAAATTTATTTTAAAATTAATCAAAAGTGTGCGAACATTCATATTTCTTTTAACGTTTCAAAACGGAGATGACTTTTTACATTTTTATTATCTATATTTTTCTCGTTCTATATATTTATTTATCGAGATGAATATGCTACTATGGGATTATATTTACAGAATTACACAAAAAAATTTTTCGATAAATAAATAACTGAAAATATGTAAAAGTATGTAATATACATATATGTAAAGACCTATATTTTTCAACTCTTGATTAAAACTCCTAATAATAAAGATACTTTGCATGGCTAATCGTTTCCAATCGGAAATTACAACAACTAGTTTCAATAGCCACAGATTGGAGGAGCGTCTTGATAAAAGAATTTACGACCTCGTAATTCATGATTCGACTAATGGAGATAACAATTGTGCAACGCAGTGGCACAAGAACCATGGAGAAAAAGAGAGAGAAAGAAAGACATCTGCCGCAGTAAAGATATCTCGACCTCGGCGCTTCACTTAAAACTTTGACGTGGTTTTCGAGAGAGGAACGAGCCCTTACGAGGACCGAGTGGCAGAGCGATAGTGCTCGCGGAGGAACGATAGCGTGCGCGTAGAGGTCATTTATGGGATGAACTCTTATTCGAAGTTTGCGACGATAGGGACGCGGGAGGAACGCGGGAGAGAAAGCGGATGCAAGAAGGTTTGATGTGGCATTTAAACCGCGTGCACCCATTAAATCAACGGAGAGGTTCCCGCCGGGCCAAAGAAACTTCAAAAGACGTTTTTGCGCGTTTGCGCTCGCAATGTTCTATTCGTATCGACTATCCTTTATGAATCGAAACCGCTCGTCAGATCCGGTCGCGTCTCATTCAGTGATTGCCTGCTTCCTGATCGAAAGGTAAAACACGGAAAAGAGAACACGCGCGCGCGCTTGAGAGAGAAAAAGAGACTCCGTGGAAGAAGATCAGAATCGCGCGAGCGAAGAAAGGGATATGAATGAAGACGGACAGCCGCAGTCGCGCATTCGACTCGGGTCGACATTGCAGAAACCGGAACAGCAACGCGGATAGATAAGTGAGACGGGATCGAAAGAGCGAAAACGGCAGCAGCCGTGCGGAAACCTCTTACTTCCGCTCTCCCGTCGGATGGGATTCTCGGGAACAGAGATTTCCCGGTCGATGTCGACGCGCGTCGATGGCGAGTATCGACTCGAATCAGTCGTCTCCCACGGAAATCGGTCAACCTAGCCGTTGCACGGATCGCGAGCCGGAGAAACGAGAGCGCGGGTCAACAAGCGACGACACGACCCTCCTTCCTCTCCAGCATCGAGAGCAAGCAGATCGCGCCCTTTCTCGTCGGGATTGATTAATTCGGCTGTCATTATGCGCGTACTAATCATAACTTTGCGAAGGGTCGTGGCGCACGGGTGGTTGCGCGATGCTTGATAAATCATTCTGACGAGGAGTGCTGCCGGGTCCCGGCAATTTGCCACCGGGACTGTCATTACATCCGCCGCACGAAAGTATGAATCATTCGCGCACGGCCCTCTTTCTCTCTTTTTTTTTTCTTTTTCTCTCTCTCCCTCTCTTTTTGCGACGGCTCGATACGAATGTGTATCGGCTCGTTCGACAAAAACGGAGAAGAAAGAGAAAAAAAAAAAAGGGAAGAGAGGGAAAGAAAGAGGGAAAGAAAGAGGGAAACGAAGAGAGAGAGAGAGAGAGAGAAGGAGAGGTGGAGGATTTAAAGTTTCACCGAGCGGCGGTGGGTCGGTCGATCAGCTGAGCAACAATTTGTCGTGACGTGGGCGGCAGGAATCTTACATATCCCCCGAATGCGACCGGCCGTCCGTGTTGGTGGCGACAACGGCGACGCGTGCGAATACGCGTGCACGTGTGTGCGTGCGGGCGGGCGAGCGAGCGTGCGTGCGTGCGTGCGTGCGTGCGTGCGTGCGAACGCGGCGAGAGGAACGGGAACGACGACCGACGGTCGCGCATATACACACTCCGATTTGTCTGGTGGCATCGGGAGAGAAAACGAAGTGGCTGTCTGGCGCTGGCTTTTCGCCATACGCCCACGCATTCTCTCCCTCCCCCTCCCCCTTCCTCCCATTCCACCCCCCGTCGTCCAAACTTGTCCCGAACGTAGAACAACGTCGCCACACTAATCCCCACGGATATCCAGACAGACGCGATAGAGGAGAAGGCGGAGGGAAAGGGGGAGGGAGTAATTCTTCCCTTCGCTTTTCGCCGTTTCTTTCTCCGTGTCTCTTCATTTCCTGTGCGTCCGGCTTCTTTCCGTGAACATATAACGTGGATTAAAAAGCGTCGAAAAGAGACCGTCGTTTCTTGGAAGCGCTTTCATGTATCGATTAGGTCGTTTTATGTCGCTTGACTCTCGGTTGTGTACATATTTGACCACGCGTTAAATCAATAGCACTGCAGATGTTAATTAGCTCTTGTGTGATACCGAATATAAGAAGGAATTTGAATATCGTTTCTCTCTTTTCAGAACTGAAGCATGTAGAATATTGAGACGAATAAAAATATTACAATTTATTAATAAAATTATTTGACAAAAATTTGTGGTATCAACAGAAATATATATGTACGTAAAAAATTAGAATCGGTCAAGTCAGTTGAAACTAATTTAATAATCCTTTAATTAGAAGTTACGACAATAACGTTCTCTACTTGTATCGTTTTGTTTTCCGATACAACGAAAATCATGGATGGGAGTTACAATGAACATCATTTAAACATGGGAAGCAGTGAATCAGCTTTTAAATGTTTCAGCTAGCATGCGATTTAAGAAGATTAAAATAATCTCTCTCAACGAAACAGCAGCACGCTTTATGACTTCCGGTTCACTAAATATAATGGGGTAGATTCTGTGCATTTCCACCAGACTTGCGCAGGACACACAAGATCTAAAATTACAAGGGAGGATATTAGGAAAAAGGGAATAATTTTTTTTTTGTATTTGTAAATCCTGTATCCTATCGGAACAAGAACTTGTCGAGGATGTGCGAGTTTCTATTTCTATACGAATATCTATTTTTTTCTCCGCTCACGCTCGGTAAAAAATAGTTGTGTTTGCTCCTCGATTTGTCAAACCCGAACAAAACAAAGTTGCCGCACGTCGGGAACACTTTATCGTGATGTCCGACGAACCCGAGAAAATACGCTGGGAACGAAGAACAACGTCGCCATGCTAATCTCGGATCTCAAGAAGTGCGCATCGGCGGAATGATTTTTTACGGTTTAACGCGTTCTTGCTGGTGGATTAAAGAGTAGTAATTTATGCCGTAGGGACGTAAGAGTGAAGAGAAGAGCCGCGAATAGGCGCTTTGGAAGCGAGCAACTGGCACACGGAGATAATCCAAGAGATTAAGGAGGCCTCCTTCTGGGAAGAGAACGTTTTACCGGTCTTGCGTCAACTTTGACACGACTACGAACATATTCTACGTGCGCGTATATTTGTTATTCTTTAAAAATTCATTGTTCTTTTTTTCCTTCTCAAAGACGGAGCGCTCTCGCCCGTCCTCGGATTAGTCGCGAGGAACCTATCGGTCTCTCCACCAGCAACGCGATATTCAAGGATATGGAACGGCGGCATCACAACACGTGATAAATAGACGACAGTATAGATTCGCTCGCATTTTCCAAACGATTGCACAATTATCTCTGCGCTAGGGTAATTGCGAGGGAGATCGAGACGTCATAAATAAAACCTTCCTCTGTGTAATTGTTATGCGTGCGCGAAGAGGGTGTTTTCCGGGCCCCCTTAAAAGTCGTACAATTCATCGCCATAATCATGCTGGGTCAAAAAAGTATTGGCTTTAACGGCTAAAAATTTATCTGGTGATTGGATGCATCTGACTCACCATATACTTCATGTTTTTCATCTGTGGATATCATTCTTCATTTCTATAAATACAATTACAAATGGTCTAGATTTAAATAGATAGATTAGACGATATTTTGATAGAAGGACTGGACGATACTTTTATCGCATTAATATATTTATACGATGCAATCTTTATAAAGTGAAAATTGTTAAAATCATCAAAAAAAAATTTATATATAAATTATAACTTCTTGATTAACTAATATTTGTCGAAAAACAAGCTAGCAAGTTTCACATTTCAAGTGTATAATAAATTGTATAAATAAAGGAATTTTCAGGGATGTTTTTATCATTTTTTTTTTTTCATCTCTCTCTTTCGCGAAGCGAGATGGTATTCTGAAAAATAATTATTTAAAATAATAATAATAATTTTATAACGAAACAAAAAAAGAAAAATTTATGTAATCTGTTAATTGCACTTTTAATAACCTGTACGCGCGCGGAAACGTATAATAGAAATAAAATAAATTTTATATTATACAAGTAAAGCATTCCATTGAATCAATATCCAGAGAACCATATCAAACATATTGAAAGTGGATAAACAAATTTGTCCGATAAAGTAATTGGAAAATAAATAAAGAAAGACTTATATTAGCCAAGGATCTTTTACATTCGCTCTTTTAAAAATCAGCGAGTCTAAATTGCGCGTTCGCAACTGACATCAAAGACCGGGGGCTTTTTGCGCCAAGATGCAAAGCTCATCCTGACATTTCCACCGTGAGAGAGCATAAAACAGGAGTCTTCGGAGGTACGGGGTGCGTTTCGACATCAAAAGCATACCAC